ATATAAATAAATAAATAATTATATAATAAATAAATAATAAAATAATTAAAATTTGATACACCAAAAAATGTAAAATAAAAAATAAATATGGTTTAATTTAACAATTCAATATAATGTGTTTCATAGAATTAAAACTTTTTTTTATAAAATAAATAAAAAGATATTTTTTATTGACATCCTATATTTTATTATTATATTTATAAATAAATCAATAATCCCAGATAAAATAAAAAATAATTTCAATTATTTAAAGTTTGTTTAGAAATAATGTTTAGACATAATATAATTATATTATTATATTACAGATAAGATAGTCAAAAAGTATATTTAATAATATTGTTATTACAAAGTTTCAATGTAGAAACTAAAAGAAAAAAACCAATAAAATAAAAATTTTAAGATTTTTAGAGATAATAAATTATTCTTTAAATGATAAATTTAATAAATGCTGATGAATTTAAACTTTAAACAATTAAAAAAATAACAATAAATAATATATCTTTATCATTTATTATGATTTAGAATTAGGGTTATAAAAAAAAAATCAAAAATCTTAAAATGAAGTGTTAGAAATATTTAAAATTATTAAAGCTGTTTAAATTATATTTTTTTTCATTGGAGAATATATTTTTTCATTCTTGTTATCAGCTGACTTCTTCTAAATTCTAAAATTCTTAAAAATTCTAATTTTACAGTTTAATAAGTCAATAAAATATAAAATATAAAATATTAATACAAAATTGACATCTATAAATGTATTAACTTGTTAAAAGATATTTTAATTGATTCATAATAATAATGAAATAAATGAAAAAAATTTTTTAATAAAACGAAAATTGCACTATTAAGAAGATAAAAAAGTTTTTTTAAATAAAAAATTTGCAATTTTTACAGGCTTTTATATTTCTTCGATCTGATAAAAAACAAAAATATAATAACAAAAATGGAAAACAATATAGCAATATGAGGAAATTAAAAAATAAAATAAAATAAAAGTGAAATCAAATCATTAAACATTATAAATATTAATTTTTGCTAGAAAATAGAATATTTGAAATTATTAAATATAATAATTGAAGTATCAATTGTTAATATTATAATAAAATGTAATTTTTTTTTAAATTTATTAGAAATTTATTATTTTTTAATTTATTATTATTATTAAAAAGAAAAAAATTATTTTTATACAAATTTTATTATATATATTAAATTGTTATATTTTATTTATAGCAAAAATAATTCAAATTTCTTTAATTTTAATCATTTTTCTTTTTTTTTATTAATTTTTTTTTAATCATATTATTATATTTGTTTTTGTTAAAAATAATATTTTTATAGAAATTTCGATACTGTTGTTACTTTAATTTATATAATATTAATTCAAACAAAGTTAATACATTCCTATTAATTTAATAATATACGTTTCTTTTCCGAAATATAATTAATTTTATTATTAAAAATAAAATTTTAAATATAATAAAAATTAATACTTGAAATCTGAATAATTTAATTGATCAAATGAAAATATAATATGAATATGAATGATTTTTTGTTCCTGTTTTCAAATTTTTTACCTTAACTGATGTTAATTATTCAATAAAAATGTTAAATTCTCAAATTTTGAGGTTAGTTTTGAAAAAATATCATGAACTGTTGAAACATGTGATAAAAGTTCATATTTTATATTACTTTTTTTTGATAATTACAAATATTTTTTCGCCAATTAATATTGCAATATATTTGTAATATATATATTTTTCATCAAATATTCGAAATTGGTATTTATAATTTTACTTTTTATATTATGATCATTGATAAGAATTAGGTTAGAAATATAACGTCGAACTGATAATCAAGTCTTTATGTGGAAAAATACGAAGAAAAAAATAAAAAAAAATATTAATTAATATGACAAATGCGTAAATCTTTTTAATTATCATATTTAATATGTTATATCAGTCACATTGAATGCAAAATTTAATTTTTAATTATTCATTTATTAGAAACAACTCACTTATTTAAAAAAACTAAACCTTATAATTAATTACAAATAAAAAATGTTTTCTTATAAGTTCATTTTATTACATTATCATATTTAACTAAAGATGATTAAAAATTAACAATCAATTTGATTTTTTCAACTTAATTTGTCTAATGAAGTCAGTTCTTGCCATTAATATTACAACTATGTCGCGAAGTATTTCAACAAATAGTTCTACGTACAAATAACTGCAAAAAAATTCATTAGTGAAAATCATTAATATGAAAGTAATAAATAAATAAAATGATATTTAATTCAATAAAATAAAATTAATTAATGTTAATTTAATAATAATTACAATATCAAATATATGCTTATAAATATTATATAAGAAAAGAACTGTTTTATATTGCAATTTCTTGAATTGAAAGTCATTTAATATATGTTACAAATAATTGAAATATAATTAAATATATTTCGTTTGCTCATATAACTAATTTTAAATTAGTTTTTATATACTTTTTTAATAACGTTAATATTAATGTACATTTAACAAAATACTTTTGCTACTTTTGCTACTAACATTAAAATTAAATTAAATTATATTATATAACGAATAAAATTTATTTAAATCAAAAACATAAAAGTCAATAATCATAAACATTATACTAATTTCTAATCGAATTTTAATTGTCTCAGAAATTTTATTTGATAAACTGAATTTTAAAATAAACGCGTGACAGGTAATGATCTAACCTGTACACGTCCATTGCTTTGTAAATCAGCATGGCCGTTGGCTAAGATGTCTTCGTGAAAGGTTAAGCCGTTTCTGCTTATTTTCTGCTCGTATGCATTTAATCTTTTCCGGGTAATAGCCTGGGTCGCCATATTGCAAAGGGCGAATCTTTCACTAACTGTTGTAGGACCGGAGAGAGAAGAGAGAGAAATAGAGAGAAAAGAGAGAAAAGGAGAAAAAAAGAGAGAGCAAACACGTCAGTACAATACGGAGAACAAGCAAAGACTGACGCTCAAGTAAGCCACGCGTCGCGATCACGATATTAGTTGCGCATGCGCTTCGATTCTGCTGATTCTATGACCGCGATTTATGGAGAAATATAGGGATAACGCAGGAACATACGAGTATGCGCATGCGTACAAGTTGAATTAGCCTGATCACTCTTAAGATTAAGAATAGCAATAATTTTAATTAATTTTTATATAAATTAAAATTAAAAAATTCATTTTTTTTATATTTGATAATCAAACAAACTATGTTATGTGCTATATTATATATGCTAAATAATGTGTATCTATTTATGTTTATTTAAATTATGATTTATAAGTTATACAAAAACCAATATACATGATACATATATTAAATTAGACACATAATTTGATTAAAATTAAAAAATATATTTGAAAAGAAAGAAGAGTAGTAAAGTTTATTATTAAATATTAAAAATTATAAAATAAAAAATAACTTGTTTTTATTAAATTTTCACTTTAATGATAAATATTTTTTTAATTTTAGTCGAAAAACATTTTTAATGCAATATTTTTAAAATTTATTTATTTTTTAATTAAATATTTTACAAAATTTAATTATTATTTATCGCTATGAAATTGTGATTTTAATTTAAAATATTGTACATGCGTATTAATATTTTGCATACACAATGAATGTATAGAATTAAACATTGTAAAGAGATATTGTTATGCATTTGATATACTTCAAACGAGAAATTCGATAATAATCAAATAATTTTAAAATACTTTTTTGTATTTCAAATTCGCAAATCGTTGACGAATCATACTCGACGGTCAGTCGTTTTTCAGACATCATGAAAAGAAAATATTTATAATTTATAATTAGTAAATAAAATGTTTGTAAAAGCAAATTTATTATTATTTTACAAATTTCGCAATTTAGAAATATAATTTGAAATAAGTGATATAATATTAAAGTATACAAATGTAAAAATATTCTTATTAATATAAAGCTAATATTTATCTAAAAATTGAAAATCTTATAAAATCTTATAAAAAAATACAATGATAATATATATGTAAAGTACAAATCCACATACATATAAAAAATTGTTGTACTCTTAAGCATAATTTTTCATCGAATGAATTACGAAATTGAATTATTATTATGAAAGTGTTATTAAAGAACTTAATTTCTCAAAGAATTCTATTTTATTGAATATAGTAATTTTGTGGTCAGTATTAGCATTTTCTTAGATTTTCATTTTTATTTCAAAACATAACATCCTTTTAGTACATCAATTTTGAGCCACAATATAATTAAATTAAATAAACAAAAATAAATTTTATTTTACGAAAATTTTTTCAAAGTTGAATATTTGTAAATTCAAATTAAAAAAAATTAATAATCTTTCATTGTTTTAAAATATTTTTTTATTATTATTTAAAAATATGTTATTTAATAATATTATTTAATAATATATTATTAATTAATAATATATTACAAATATAACATATTATCGCACACCTTATTAAGATTACATCATAAGACTATCACATATTTTTAATCATTTCAATGTGACTCATTGTCCTGACTGATGAGTCCCCTCCAATTCCTTCTTTGCAATTAAGTAGTGGGGAAAACCAACTTAATTCTTATTGGTTCGAGGTCAGGAGCGAACATTACATATCAGATCCCCTAATAATAATATTATGCAGTTTTAATATTTTTTTTTATTATTGTTGATGTATAAAATTTATTTTTTCTTTTTTGATTTAATAAAAATAAATAATATGTAATGCATTATATTAAAGATTTATCATAAAAAAGGATACTAGAATTATGTAATTATGATATATAGATCATTTTTATTATTATAATAAAATTATAATTTAAAAAAATATATATAATACATAAATATAACTCAATATTAGAATTTCTAAAAATTTTTAATTTTGCGTTTAATGTCACCCAATATATATACATTCCTGGTACAGACAGGAATAGTGGGGCAGAAACCCTCTTACGCACACCCCGTGAGATACTCCGTCGGAGAACATGCTTCAGAATCGAATCTACCTGAAATAGTGAACGTTAAACCAGTTTTTCATTTTCAGTGTCTATTGCTTATCGTTAATCTTTAAATGTGCATCGTTTAATAAAAAATAAAAAGTTATAACAAATAGAACTATTTCTTTAATATTAATAAATTCAAAAAAGTGAAATTATATAAAAAAGGTAATAAAAACGCAGTGAAACATCAACGTTATAATTGTAAATTACAATTATTTATAAATACTATTTTAATTATTAAATATTTTAAAAATCGCTAAAAATCATATTAGAAAAAAATATTAGAAAATTACAAAGAAAAGAAAGAATATTGGAAGTATCCTAAAGAAAAGTCGAATTCTATGACAGGATAACACTCCTCGCGTGCAGCAAAGATGGCCGAGTTAAAGGAGCAACCAATCAGAAGGGAGCACGATTCGATGGACGATTTTGAGCATCTCGAACACGTCCAGGATGGACAATCAAGTCATCTTGAAACTCACAACGAGAAAATAGAAAAGAGTTCGAAAAATAATTTCGATATGGAACAGGATATGATTAATTTTTCCTCTAATCAATCATCAAACGAACTAGAAGATCCTAGAAAAGCGACAATGTTACTGTTAGAGTCAGAGAAAGGAAGACCGGCTGAAGAAAGTAATTTTGAGGTTAGATCAAAAGAGTTTGATTTCTTATCAAGTAAAATAGACGACCAATCGGAGGTTATGACGATTCAACCGATTAATAAAAAAGAAGAAGAAAAACAAGAAATTGTAGAAAAAGAAGAAGTTAAGGAAACCAAGATTCCAGATTGCGAATCAGAAATCATTCTTAATACAGAGAAAAAAATAGATAATTCATGGAATGTTATCGAAAAATCTCCAATTCCGGAATCAATTTTGAAACCAGAGAAAAGAGAAGAATGTGTAAGTGAGAATGTGCTTGCTGATATAGAGAAAAAAGAACGAATCTGTGCAACAGAAACTGGAGAATCTGAATTTGAGTCAGAAGTTGAAATATCTCCAGTAAAAAGTTTCAAATCAGTAAAACAGGAAGTGAAAAGAGAACCAGTGGAGGAAGTGGAAATTGTACCGAAGGAGATATTTAGTAGTATGGGAATAGGTAAGTAAATCTAATTTTCTATTTTATTGGAATTTTATAAAAGAAATAGTAATATAATTTTTATATTTTTATATTATAAATATTATTATCTAGTAAGAAAAAAAATAGTTAAATCTAATAAATATTTTTTTATATATTATATATATTAAATATTTTATAATTAATACTCATAAATATTAATAATAATAATAATAACCTACAAAATTCTGAAAGCATAAAGCGATTAGTGAAATTAATTTAGCATCTTTGCACGAAATGAATTACGCTTCCGCTTAGATACAACATTTTTTGAATAGTAATGATGTGATTAGTTATTTTAGACACGTCATATCCCTTTTCAAAATATCTTTATTTTCATTCATTAACTTAATAAAAAATTTCACAAAAAAATATCTCATATTGAATACTTCACTTTGAATATTCTTTTTGTAACGTATTTAAAAAAATTATCGTTATACCGTTACTTACGTACAACTGTACATTAAATAACGGTAATTGAAGATTTTGCGCTTGAATTTCTATGTAGATTAAATGTTTATGATTCTTCTTATTATACCATCATTATATTCTTAAAAATTTTAATAGATTAATGTTACTTTTTTTATGATTATAATTTTTATACAATGTTTATATACATATAATAATTGTAAAATGATTGATTAATTTTTATCTATTAAATTTAATTTGAATAAAATAACAATAGCCAAGTAACGAATTATCGATTTTTGAATATATGTAAATGTGTTAAAGTATGCAAAGTTGAACAACTATGTATGAGTAATTATATGACATGCGTCAAATGTGATATTTTTAGCCTTTTTGTGTAATTATCAATTTTTATTTTGTTTTTTATTTAAATAATTCAAATAATTTTTTAAATATTTTAGCTTTTTATCGAAATTTAATTTTTACTGAAAAATAATATAATATATGTTAGTATTATATTGAACAATTGCTAGAAAAAATCAAATGTTTTATGTTTTTCATAAAATATTTGTTTCTTCAGGATTTTATATATCGATATTTATTAAAAATAAAATATGAATTAAGTGAAATTATATATTGCACCGTAAGAAGAAAAACGAATATATTTTGTATATGGTTTCTATACTGGATCGAAGTAACTCGTATCTTCTCCCTATATTGATCCATAGCAGAGATACCTTACGACCTCTTTTGATAGAACCAATGGGTAGAGCCAACCCATGGGAAAAAATATTTTGCATTAAAAATATATTTTATAAAATAAATTATTAATAATAAATAATATATACATAAAATGTTAAATTGTTTAAATTTATATCAACAAAATCATATTAATTCAAAATTATTTTTTATAAACATGAAATAATTTTTTTATTTTTCTCGAAGATATTTTTATACATGATTTCGAAGAGAACGAAAAATTCCATGTGTCTGAGTCATGAATTATTTTCATCGTCATTACATTATTATACATTATTATTATACATTACATTATTATCGCGTTTTTCTTGTTAATTATATTAAAATAAAAACAAAATAATAATTTTATTTATTATAATATATTAATAATCATCATTTTATAAATTTAAAATGTAATTAAAAAAAATAAATTTAAAAGACTTATTTTAATCAATAAAGAAACTATGTTTTAATAAATTTAAGAAATATAAATTGTATAAAATCCTTTTTTTTTTTTTAAGTTTTCTCAAATTTTATTTTAATAATTTGTTTGATATATATTTATTTCTATTTGAAGTTTTTAGATATATTTTAAATTTCGCGTCATCTGTCGTCTTACTTTGGAACTCACTAGATTTTCTTACTATAAAACGCGCCATCTTTTATCAACGAAAACAACTACTTGTTCTTCATTCGAAGCCTTATCGCTTTTCAGTACGTAGCAATGGCGCATTGGGATGGTGGGGATATCTGGAACTGTCCACGGGTCGATAATACTAGTTAGTCTCGTTCTCACCTCGAAGCATATTGTGTCGTTAGGAAGTCGCAATATAGAAATTAAACGGAATATTTTATTTTCCTCAGAATTTATTTGAAATCATTTTGTGCATTAAAAAAAGACGAAACAAGTTGAAAAGATTTATTCGAATGTGCATAGAGAATAGAAATCAGTGAAAAATAATAAAAAGGTGAACGAAAAAGAAAAATAAAAAGTTTGGATCGGAAAGTGCGTCATTTGCAACTATCGGCTTGAATTGTTGAGGTAGTGTTCGAATGCAAGTCGTCCTTGGTTCTACTGAAACGCAAGGTTAGGAAAAAATGAGAATGGAGCCGGCATGTCCTATGTCTCCTGGGAAGGAGAAAGAAGATGCTACCGCGATTTGCAAGGAATCATGCTTCGTTGTAGCCAATGACAATTCTTGCTTCTGGAATATTCTTGATCCATGTATGTTCATTTTTCATATTTGTTTTTGATATAAGATGAAAGATGTAAAGTATTTAAAATAATATAAAAATATAAAGCACTAGTCATGCACTTGTTTGACGTAGGAAATGAATTGCAATTCATAATCAGTAGAGCGCGTATTAGTCGCAACAGTAGCTTTACAAGCAAATGACAGACTATTATATTGTATTATATTATATTATCTAATATTATATGTATTACATACTATTTATATTACATATTATATAGTAGAAATAAAAAATGGATTATTGTATAAAATATATTTTAAATATATATTTATTTAAAATAAATATATTTTATAATATATTAGAAAATACATTATAATACTTTACATTGTAAAATTTATCGAGTAATATAATTTAAATATGATTTAATTATAAAAAATTGGATATTCTTAATTAAAAGATTAATAATAAAATTCAGATTTCTTTTATTATTTTAGAAGTACCAACAAAATATAATAAACTGAAAGTAAATTAATATTATTATTATATCTAAATTTAAATATCAAAAAATTTTCTGTCATAATATTCAACAATAAAATATGGAAGAAATGTACATTTCAAAAGAAAATATTGCAGTCAATCTTAATTTTAAAAGACTGATTTATTATGATAAATAAAGTTATTTATCTGCTTTATAAAATTTATATTAATTCCTACATAAGTTAATTTATTAATAATTGTTTTTCATTAGTAAAATATTTACAAGTTGATGAATATGAATATTTTTTATATTTATATACGAATATATTTTATATATTGATAAATATATTTTTATATTATTTTTATTATTATAAGTTCATATTATTTTTATTTTTATTATAATAATTATAGTATTTTCTAATATTTCAGTTTTAATATTTTTACATTTGCATGAAAAAAAATTAAAAGGATTAGAATTCATTTTAATCTTGTTTAGAATTAAAATTTATTAATAAATATAGTAAAATTTGAAAAAATTAATCTAATTAAAAAAATTATATAATACATAATATATGAACTATTATACTTTAAAAAGCTTCCTTTCTTTCTTATAAAAGAGAAGAAATATACACATAAATAAATAAATATACTATGATATTATTTCTATATATTTTATGTATATTTATATGTATTTTTATTTATAAAATGTTGTTCTTAATTCATTTATTGATTTTATTTTAATCTGGATATTTTATAAAGCTAGTTATTTTAATTATGCTTTTGAAAATTTTATTTTCCAAAAAATAAATTAACAGATTATAAAAGAAGGGAAAAATTGCTTAATTTTAGAATATAAATGGCTACTCTTATCGCAGAAGCCTGGTTGTTTTCGTTGAAATATAAATTACATACATTATCAAAAAAAAAAAAAAAGGGTAAAAAGAAAAGTACAAAAAAAAAAACGATAAAAAATAGATAATTATATAGATCCGGGTGTATCGACTGTCTGACATGCGCAGAAGAAACGCGATTTGCAAGAGGATTATTGATCGTCGACTATCGGTTTTTATAAATATATATTGCATATTCTACATTGTAAATAGCAATTTTTGATAATAAAAAGAGAGAAAAAAGAAATATCCGAATAGATAAATCTGTTATACCTAAAAAAAATGGGAACAAATATATACTCATTACTTAAAAGATATAATTTCTTTATCAATTGCTTATTTTATATATCGATAGATGAATTAAAAAGTGTATTTAAAAAAATTGAAAATTTACTTTTCATATTTAGAAATAAAAATAAATAATTAAAAAGTAAATCATAATAATTTTGGAAAATGATACTTTTATTTAGTAATTTAATTATTTTATCATAAAATAATTATCTTATCATCAATAATTGAATTTTTTAAATAAAACTTTACTTACACAATTATATGAATTAATATGATTTTTTATTTAATTTAATTTATTATTTTATTATTTAATTTATATATTTGATTGACAATAATCACAAAAAAAAATAATATTGATAGATAAAAATTATTTATTTTTATTGAATTAAAAAAATAATATTGAATTTGATCCTAAAAAAATACAAAATTATTTATAATTCGTTTAAATAGGCGTGGTCGTGTCATTGAGAAATTATATTTTTAAAAAGAAAAAAAATTTTTTATTACATAAATTTTATCAAACAACTTGTTATTTGATATGTTTAATTCTAGCTTTCGGATTATGGATTTATAAAAAATAAAAAATATGTAATTGTGTAAATAATATTTATAAATAAATTCAAAGCATTATTTATCGAGAAGAATCATACGAATTTTAAAAATCATTGGATTGAAGTACATAGATATTGAAAATATTATTTATCGAAGAAAAGCACGAATACGAATTTTAAAAATCATTCGATTGAAGTATTTAGATATCGAGATAAAAGAATATTATCGAAGAAAATCACGAATATAAATTTTTAAAATTATTCGATTGAAGTTCATAGATACCAAGATAGAACTCGAGGTCAAAGATTGCGCAATATATACTCCGGTACATTAATTACATTAAGTGCTGACAATCATTTACTATTTAAAAACATCATGTTTTGTTTTAAAAAAAATTGCTTGAAAAATCTTATAAATAATATCCAATTTATATTAAAAAATTTTAATTTCGTTCGTATAAATCAAATATATATTTCTTTTTTAATAATTAAAATAAAATCATTGACATAAAAGATATTTTATTTAATCAAATTACGATTGAAGTTATATAACTATAAAACAAATAATTGAATCATTAACAGAAAAAAAGAAACATACAAAATATAAATGCATTCATAGAAAATTAAAATGATATATCTATGAATTTTTAATAGAATTTTTAGACATTGGTAGTGAATGAACATATAATAACAACTTTTCTCGAATAATTTTAGATTGAATAATACCTTATGATTTTATGATTTTTATATTTATACATTAGATAAAAATCTACATATATATTTCTTAGATATCTTTCTTAGATAAGCAGTTTAAAAAAATTATACATATATCTTTCAAAATCAAAATTTTCTAAAACATTTTTAATTAAATCACTGATAAATTTCACTATGTAATTAAATTATTTCATTACAAAACATTCTTCATTTCAATTTGTATTCTATAAGTATTATATAATAAAAATTATGAATGAAGTTTTTCGTATAAAATGTATGATTTTTTCACGTATATATTATTTACATACCGCAAGACAAAATAGTAGATCCTGAATAAAAATCGATTGTACATAAATTTCGGAACCGATATGGAATCGTAAAAATAACTGTTCAAGAATCGATATGGGGATCGAAACTAGAACAAATATGGTTTGAAATTTCGGTACAATCGTATAACAGTTATTCAGAATAAAAATTCTTCATAACCGCTTCGATATTATAAGAGTTTTTAAGCTCTGAACTTTGAATTTTGTATTTTATTTTGTATTTTTTTTAAACGAAGAATTGTTAGGTATATATTATATATAATATTTCGAAAATTTGTATTCAGAGTACAATGTTACTATAAAATATTAAATTAACTTTATTATTTTTTTTTCATTCTTCATCCAACGATATTAATTGAAAGTTATCTCAATTTATATCTACTATTATCTTTAACGAATATTAATATTAATAAGATCAATTTTATAATATCGTTATTTTTTATTATTACACAGCATTAAAAATTTTTTTTTTCTGTTTTTAATTCATTAATTTCTCACAGATCATCGTAGAGTAGTTTATATAGAATTATATTAATTAATTATACTAACTTATTTCGATTCTGTTCTTTACAGACGCATGGTTTAATCCTGATAAACTCAATCCAAAAGGTAAGATACCAAATTCGATGTCGATGTCTATCAATTTGTTTCTATGTGTTCAGCAATTTTATATGTATAGATATTTTTTATTTTATTAATTTTTTTTATATATAACATATATCTATATTTGCACTCATTCCTCGTTATATTCGAATTATTATTTATATATGAAATAAAGATATGCGAGAAAGCATTTATTTAAAAAGAAATTAATCAAAACTAATCATAAAAATATCTATTTTATTTCGCAAGAGATAAAAATAAAATAATTTATCTTTAAGTATGACTTTGTATTTCATTGATATATCATAAATTTTATAAAAAATCATAATCAGACAAATATACTTTTTGACTGTATGAATCGAAGAATGAGTGTTTACTTGATTTGTGTACAATAAATATAAAATAGATGTAAAGTAAAAAAAACTCTGGCTGAGATATTTATTGTATATAGGATGACCCACTTAGAGTTTATAGAAATATTCCTATAAATAAATATAGTAAATATAAAAAAATATCTTTAATGAAAAAAATAAGATATGTTTTTAATGTCAATTATATTATCTAATAAATTAGAAAAATTGAGAGAAGTTTTGTCGAAAAATATAAAATTATGTTGAGACAAGTCAAGTTTTTGATTTCTTATTAAATGTATTTAAATTCAGTTAAACAGAGATTTGCGAAAATTAACGATATAGATAACAATGGATAATGTAAATATAACTAACTTATAGATCTATATTATATAAATTACCATTGAGTTTTGTTTGATCTTTGTACCAGCTACAGACCTTATTCGACAAGATTATTACATATCGACATATCTATTATTAAACATTCCTGCATCGTGTCTTTTCTCTTCGATTATTGGCTCATAATCTAGCACTAAATCTCGAAGACAATTTAATTTTTAAAGATTCTTTTAAATCAAATAAAAATGTAATTATAGTAAAATTTTTGAAAATCGCTATCTCATGAAAAAACTAATTGTATGCAATATCATTGTTCATAAATTTCTGAAATATAATTCTCATCGTAGAATTCAGTAATGATGTTTTCAAAGTGCAAAAGCAACTATAAAGATACCACTTTGATGATACAATAGACTACTTTCATCGAATTTCCTTCTAAAGATATTGTCAATTATTGCTTCTTTGTGATCCAATGTACATATCTTAGTACAAATAAAAGCTCTAAATATAATATTATAACATATTATGATTTGAAAGTTGAAGAGATCATCTGGCCTCCCGTTTTTAATTCTTTGTTCAAAATTGAAAATGTTTTTAGTTTTCAAATCGAAATTTTATTGCAAGAAAATATGCACAATGCATTTAAAAAATTTGCATAATTAATTATAACATAACATGCACGAGATATTTTGTATAACAAATAATCATTTCATCTCAATTTTATAAATTATTAAGTGTATATTTCAATGTTCGAGAAGTATGTAATAGATCATTTCTAATGTCACCCAAAATTCGTTTACATTTAATAATATAAAATGGAACACGACCTAAAACTTTCAAATGCTTTCAATTCTATTTGACATAGATCTCATTGTAATTTTAGAAATCGACTTCATCGGTAGTTTGTAGATGCTACTTAAAATCTCGTTTTTTTGTTCCCTCGAGTGTAATATTGATTTTCCCTTTGAAGACTGAAACGAGAACAGTTCGTACATATGTATATGTGTATGGGTCAAGTACCTCGCAGAGAGAGGGAGAGTATTGAGGAAATGTGTCAATTGTTGAAAACTTGCATTCGAGATGATATTAAAATTATATTATTGATCTTCCAAAGTTCGATGATCTAGCTTTCGTTACGATAATTCAATCTTGTTTGTACAGTGATACCAATACTTGCACAGAAAAAATGGATTTGTTTTTCGAGTATTGAATTCTGTATTATGATTGATTAACTTTCTTGTGTATATCTGTTAATACGAATATGCTACTTATTCCTTCCTTTTGATTTGCAATTTTGATTTATATTGGATAAGACAGACAAGAGAACAATTTTTGTATCGGATAATTTGTGCCAGAAATGCTTAGAGTAAACATTGCCAATTGTCCATCTCATCATTCACAAATTTTATTTCATTGTGTTTCCAGATTTGAATTAGAATTTAAATATTTAATGGATATTCCATTAATTTTTTAAGAGATTAGCAATAACATTAGAATAGTTTTGAATTGAAACACTATTGAATCGCTATTCGTCATAAAACTCATGATATATTGTGCGATGTATTCTAAAACAACAAATCTTAAAATATATTTAACCAGAATACTCGTTTCCAACTTATTCAGAACAACTGAATGATCCGTTTCAATTATCGAATCAAGAGAATGTCCATCCGAATATCAATTCAATTCTCAGCGACCAATTTTGTTTTTCCTCTCAGATATCGTTCACTCTGTTCATTTATCCATCCATATATCTTCCAATCGTTGTTAAAATTTTCCAGAGTGATTTTCCCCTCTCGTTTCTCCGTTCATTAATATTTCAATCGAATGAATTCGTGCCGCGGTTAGAATCCAAAAAAGCCGGAGACGGTTGGCGACCATAGCCGAAGTTAAATATAGTATCCAGCCGGATTCGAGGCTGTTGGTGATCTGCCAGAAATCTCGAAGGGAACTCTCGCTTTTTCTTCGGCGAGTCCACAGTATCTATGTCTACCAGGGAGTGTGTACTGTGTTTCTACCAGAATTTCTTGAATTTAGTTTCTTATAATCAGTAGAATACGAGTTAGTAGTGTTCGCCGCCAGTGTTCTTCTCTCTTTGGTGTTGCACGAGATTTAAGGAAGGGATAAGTGTAACCAGTGGATAGAAACATGGCCATCACGAGGGAGGAACGTGAGTAGATGCTGAAACGAATCCGAACCAATTCGATGGCAGGTATATGCTAGTTGTGAACATTGACAGACTGCCAGTTTAATTTTGCTGCGCAGACGCAGTTACGTCAGAGGTTTAGGGAGGGAATTTTTGGAAATGTTAATGATTTTTTCTACTATCTAAAACTAGGCTAAGATCTCGAGGATTAGTTATGATATAGAGATAATCTTTAAAATATTATTAAAGATTTTTTTTTTTAAGAATAAATAATAGTAACAAAAGAGATTTCTTTTGTTTGGTTAGAAATTGGTTAAAAGTTTTTGAAAAAAATTTAATCAATTATTTTTATTATGAATTAAGATTCTGAGAATAGGTTATAATAGAATTAGATAATAATATTCCGAAGATATTAGTAATAATTGTTTAATTTTTAAAAAATAAATTGCTGTTAATTGTAGAAATCATATTTTTGATTGATTCGATTGTGTGATTTTCTAAAGATTGCTATGAGTAATCAAAAAGATTTCTTAAAGATTTTTTTACTCTTATCCAGAGTATCTACAAAGATTGGAGCATTGCACTGTTTTCTTTGAAACAGTTGTTACTTTTAGAGCTTGGACGTGATCCAACTCGCTAAAAAATCGAATTCTTTGTTAAATCTTATTGTAAGAATCATTTCTAATTCAAGAATTTTTTCTTTTATTTCTTATTTCTCATCACTCTATTGTCGAAATGCGAAAATTTTATCTAAAACTGAAAATAAGAATATTTTTTTAAATAATTTTTTCTATCGAAAAAAAATTATTCTATCGTTATTTAAAAAGATGTTTTTGTTAGTATTGATATAAATTTTATTTAAATAATAGACTTTATTTGAAATTATCTATAGGAAATCGGCATTAAAAAATTATTAAAACTATCAAATTAATAAAAATGTACATATGTTGAAAGATTTTTATTTATAAAATTAATAACTTTTATTCAAATATTCGTTATAATAATGTATATATTTAAAAAAATTGCAAATTGGATATTTTAATTTTAAAATAAATGTCACGAATCATTAAATTATTATTCTGAAAATTTATTTCTATTTTATATTATTACAATAGAGCGCAAAAAAAATAATAACTTTCTAAAATAGTTAGCTCATTCTAAATAATTAAAGAAGCTCAATGTGCAACATAATAATAAAGAGAAAATTGTAATTTTTAAGCAGAATCTTTGGTATATAATTTTCCACTGAAGAAAAGAAATAATGAAGGGTCAATAAAGGGTGAATTCGCCAAGGATAGAATATCAATTGGCAGGTGTATTTCTGAGAATAGTAAAAGGGATAGAGGCAATGGCCGACACTGCGACGCCGGGCGTCGCACTACCGGAGACAACTTATTGATTTTCTACCACCAAACCGCGCCCGACTGTTTTCCTTTATGCTCCTCGTTCGACACGTGATGTTCATGGACGATGTATCTCTATCTTTTATGCTCTAATAAACTCTTCTTCATATTTGGGTCTGCTCCAACTCTCGACTCTGATTGAACCTCTTTAATAGTTCGATCCATTTGAAGATGTAAACAATTAAATGAATTAAATCATTTTTAATATCTTGTATATTATTTGATGTTTAGAAAATATCGTATAGTAATTGTTTGATAAATATTATAGATAGAACTTTTTGAATCATAGTGTAATATTTTTAACAAGTTATTGAAGAAATATTTAAATTGGAATAAAATATTAAAGAAAAGTAAAAGAAGAAATATAAATTAATCTGCAATGAGGCTTTTAATTTTAAAAACTTTGTAAATTTTTCATAAAAAAATTGGCAATTATTTTATTAAAATTCAGCCTAAAAATTTATTTTTTGTTTGATCGTCAAAAAAATTGAATTTTACAGTTTTAAATAATATTTTATTTTAAATATAATAAATATAATATATAACATTTTTATATTTAATAAATATTTTAATGCATTTATTCTTTAATATTATTCAATAAAAAATATCGTCATTTGACAAGAGCAATAACTTGATTATAATATAATAAACGTTTAAAATATATATTGAAGTTTTAAGATTCATACGGCAGAATTTGCACATATATTACTTCCATGGTGTATCATAGTTTTCCATATACAGCCTTCTATTTGACATATTAGTCATCGATTCTTTACTCTCACCTTGAGGGCATTGCTTTCAAAAGAGAAATGATTATAGTGATTATAGAATATAGTGATAGAATATAGTGATTATTATTTGTATATTAATGATGACTAATCAATTTTGTTAAATATTAAATTATAAAATAGTAAAATTGATAATATTGAAAGTTTTATAATGCTTAAATAATTAAGAAAGAAAAGAAAATAGATGAAATAATTTAAATTTATTAAGAAATTGATATAATATATATATTTTTCAAATCTTTTTAAATCTTCTTTTTTTTATAATACTTAATTTTTCTTATAATTAAAATGACATAAAATTATTCAATTTTCAATGAAACAGAATTCGATTAAGAATTGGGACAAATGACATAAATTCGTTTGGCAGAATTGTAAGATGTTGAGTAGGCCTTGGAAACAATTTAATAGAACATCCTTTTTGGATTAGAGACAAAGCCGACAGCAAAATTTGAGAATTTCTATTATTAGATTACATTCAAGGCTATCCACAATTAGTCGCATCAATCATTATTTCTCAAATATTTAATTAGAGTATAATTAGTTTTATTATCTAAATTTTT